GGCCCAATGATTAAACTGGCTTAGAAAGCCCTACAGGGGCAGGGAGGGGGGTGGGGTAAGGTCGCTCTACTCTGTCACATGGGGATGGCTGTGAGTGATCGGAACCCACTCCACGGCGGCACCCAACCACAACTACCCTCATGGAAAGGCAGCAGTTGGTCGCAGAAGGGGCGCGGAAGAAAGGCCTGGTGATAGACTTCCACAAAGCTGGAAACCCGTCTGCCTCACAAGTGATCGCCATGAGTTAGTTGGATTGGATGGACTCCACAGCAATGATTTTAGTGTGAGGGTTTTTTTTTTGGGCCCCCCACCATTATCTAAAGAAGCAAGAAGCGAGCTTCTCCATGAATCCCTGTATTAAATACCCCCATGATATCGCTGGTGTAATTGCGCCTGGCACTGTCTCGCTTATTTATCCGTCTCGGGCACCATGAAGGATCACCTCGAGTCAGAACAGACTCAAGGACATGGCGGGAAGGGGGAGGGGGCGGATTTTGTTTTTGCAGGAGTCCCCGGATAGTGCAAGCGGCTAATACATTCAGTGGCTGACCCAAGGGTTGGAACTTCAAGTCTACCCAGAGGCAACTTGGAAGAAAAGCCTGACTACCTACTCCCGAAAAATCACAACCATCGAAACCCTTGTGGAGCACAGAGCTACTGGGACACGCACACGGGGTCATGCACACGGGGTCCAGGTAAGACTCCTTAAGGGGGAGGCTCTAGAGCAGTGGTTCTCAGCCTTCCTCATGCCGCGACCCTGTAAGACAGTTCATGTGGTGGTGACCCCCCAACCATAACAGTATTTTCATTGCTACTCCATCACTGTCATGTTGCTACTGTGATGAGTCGTTCGACCCCCAAGGGGGTTGCGTCCCACAGGTTGAGAACCGTTGTTAGAGCAAAAGAGTCTTTCCAGAATGGTGGAGGTGGGGTAGGGAAGGGGTGCTGTAAGCATGTTAGAATGAGTTGAGGATGTCCCTGGGAAACCTCTTGAAGCTGCCTTTCCTGGCAGGATTACAGTTTGCCCCAAAGGTCTTTCTTCCCAGCTTCCCACGCCACCTAAGCTCCCTAAACTCCACAGCCCAAGCCAGGGAGCAGGGTGGGTGTGGGGGACCTTCAGGCCCCCAAACCAGGCTGCTCTCATTAAACTGGTTTTGTGGCACCCAAGGCCAAGACAAGCCAATGCCTTCCAGCACCCCGCCCCACCCTGCCAACCACCATCACCACCATGTCGGTGGCAGCCAGAGTGGAGGTGAAAAGGCCCGGTACTGCTCTAGCCAGGCCCCATGAGTCACCAGGGCTTCCCCAGCCACGGCTGAGCTGGTTCAGCCAACAAGCATGGGGCATACTAGCCAAGGGATCCGCGGAGGAAACCGAGGCTCAGGGAGGGGCGCGTGCTTGTGGCCTGCCGGAGGTCAGCGGCGCGTGGTGTAGTGGCAGCTAGCCAAGGCTTCTGGCTCTGAGCAACCAGGAGCAGGGCACGGAGGGGCCTTGGAAATGAACACATCCAGCCTTTGGTTTTCCAAGAAAGCCTGCCGCAAACAAAGGGCGGCTTGACCTTGGTAGGTACTCATTCCCTCTGAGCCCCAGCCTCTCAAGTGGCCTGTTGGGGGTGGGGGGGCGTGAGGGAAGGCTGGGGGGAGCAGGAACCCCTCCTGCCCAGACCCAGAAAGGTCTTGCTCACTGTGGAGGGCTGTGCAGCCTCCTCTCTCAGCTGGCACCAACGCAGATGTTCTCTCTCCAAGCCCAGCTGCTGACCACCTGGGCAGGGTGGGCGTCAAAATCGGGGTCTTCCCTGGGAAGGTTGGAGGCACCTGCTCCATTCATGGTGGGAAGGCGGGGCAGGGGGGAGTGCACTGGAGGCTGCCAGGAACCCTTCCTGGACCCCTAAGACACACCCCTCCCTGCCCCTGCCCCACCACCACGCCAGCCCCCACCTGCCCCTGTGTCTGCGGGTGTCTCCCAGGCTGGAGTGAGCTATCCGCACACACCTGTTTGGGTGTGCCCCTGTGCACCAATGAGCTGGGTGTGTCAGTAGCTATACAGAATCTGCAGCCACAGAGGTGGCCAGCAGAACCCCAGAGCAGGCCAGCCATCCACCTTTGGCACCACCACTCCCTCCCTCACTGTGTAACCTTGGGCAAACTGCTTGGTCTCTCTGGGCCTCTCTTTTCCCCTCTCTAAAATGGGGTGAGCAGAGTTCTTGGCCCATAGGGTTGGGGTGGATGAGGGGACTCAGAGCCCTGTGATATGGGGAAGGTTCTAGGGACTAGGCCTTGCAGGTGAGTCCCTGGATAAACAGTAGGGAGTGGGCATGCTGGCAATGCAGGCACCCCTCCTCTGCAGCTGGGTGCCTCCTGTTCCCGGCTGGACATCTGAGCTTGCAGGAGTGCAGGGGGAGAGGGGGGGTTGGGGTGGGTGGGGTTACTTGTGTGCACAGAGGTGCATACCACCTGCATGCAGTGGTCCTGGAGTCAGTATGCCCACATTGGCACTGGGTGGGTTTGGGTAAAGTGCACCCAGATGCGTGGGGTCTGGGTGTGCAGGTCCTGGAGGGCTTGTCTAAGCAGGATATCTGAGTGCCCCATCCCCTCCTGCGGGTGCACCTGTGTCCATGGTTAAGTGCAGCTGGGCCAGGTGTATCCAAGGGTGCCCTGCGCTCTAGTGGAAAGGAAGTGTGTGTTTGGGAAGAAGGGGACAGGGATCTATAACCCTCGCAGTTCTATTTGGGGTGTGGAGCCCCCAACAAATATTCATTGCGTCCTACTGTGTGCAGAAAGGGTGGGGGATACCCTGGGAAGGGAGTGGCCCTGGGGTGAATGGGGCGCACCTCAAGGGGGCGGGGCCCCCATCATGCAGTATGGGGACCGGTGGGAGTGGAGTCCGGGCTTGGGGGGCCCGCCGGCCGGGGCGGGGGGAAGGGCGGGGGAGGGTAAGGAGAAGGGGAGGAGCCAGCGGGGGG